CGTTTTGAATGTAAGGCATACTGTTCATTGTTGATTACGAACGTCTTTTTACATTTAATTTAAGAGGTTTACGTTTATGGATGAATTTGACAGCGACAATGTTCCAAAATTAGGAAGGGAAGCAGTGATTATTTGATTATATAGACGCTTCGCCTCTGGCGATTGCTCAACAATGATGCGCAGAGTAGCGATCTGGTCTAAGCATGATCTGTTCTTGTGGAATCCTGCCTGATTTCCCCAAAGCTTTTGGTCTGCTGGCTGCTTGATTCTCTCCAGGAATATCCTGTAAAAGACTCCCAGGTATGAACAGGAGTGTTATGCCTCTGTAGTTGTTACAGTTGCTGAGGTCTCCATTCTTTGGCAGCTTGATCCAGTCTGGTGGCATTTCCTCCTCTTGCCAAGCCTTTTCGAATAGAGCATAGAGAATTTCAACTGATGTATCTGTATCTTCCTTACGGGCTTCCAGAGATTATGGTCGGGATCAGCTGCCTTGTGGGACTTCAGTGATGTTATAGCTGAAGCAATTTCCTCTCACGAAATTGGTTCCGAAACTATTGGGAGGTCATTTCTGGCTGAAAGAATTTCTGGTTAATTTTCTCGAGGTGTTCTGTTCAAGAGTTGATCAAAGTGTTCTCTCCATCGGTTAAGTTGCCCCTCTGGGTTGAAAACAGTCTTTCCCTCTTTGTTTTCACTAGTAGAGTGGGCTTGCTGCACCAAACTGAAAGAGTTTTAGTTGTAACGGAAAATTACTCGAAACAAAATAAAACTGGGTATAGTATTTTAATTTGTTCCGCCTACTTGGATGTTCCCAGACTGAGCACCGGTTCCGTAACCACCGAATTGTGTAAAAATGGCGGAAATCAGACAGACAAGCTGAGACGAGCATTGAATGTGGATGTGGGTAAAAACTTTTCGCTTGTGATTTGCTTGGGATACCACTTGCTTTTTAAAAAGTAGAATATACTGCTAGTATGCGTTGATTCCAGGTATTGTCTTTTTATACTATTTTCATCTCGAGTCCGATTAGATTTTTTTTATCTCTATTCGGACTCGGGTCCGAACAGTGAACAGGGCAATGTCTGAGTGGCGATTTTGTAGTTTCGTTCGTTAAAGTCAAGAGTAGGGGGGTTTCAGCTTGCTCCCCTGACCTAATAAAAATATGGAGGTGGGGGGGGGGCGTTCAGGGGGGCATGCTCCCCTAAATTTTATCCTAATTTGATGTTTTGCAGTTAGGTTGCATCCCTGCTCTTTGTCACTTTGTGTAGCCTATTTCAAATGGAAGAGGCTAGCCGTACTTAATGACTGTGCTAGACTGGCAGTCTTGCCGTACTTAAGTACGGCTAGACCGGTTGGCTAGACTTGCAGTCTAGCAGTACTTATTCTAAATATGATGGCTAGACTGACCATTTAAAAAAAGTAGGCCTACTGAATTGTTTTTTTGTAAATTATATAAATTTTGGCCACCTCTATTCTCACCCTGGGTGAGAATAGTGCAGGCGAGTCTTTTGGCTATTCTCACCCATTGCGCGTTCACCGTTATAGCCTAGATCTAGGCCAACAAATTTTGCGTTCACCCTAAGCCTAAACCACAGAATTCTACACTGTGACTGTGATATAACAGAAAAAGAAAAATTGTAGAATTCTGTGCTGTGAACAAACGTTCCATTACAACTGTAGCCTACTAAAAGCGTACAATTGTGTCTGTGGGCAGTGGAGAGAGAGAGAGAGAGAAAGAGGAGAGAGGAGTAGCGCGAGAACTTCCAGTCAATACAAAATGGCGACCTGCGTAGTTCGGCTCGATTCGAAAAGTTAAATAGCCGTAGCATCTTTGTAGACAACCAAATTAATTTACTTTTGTGCTTTAATATAGGCCACCTCTATTCTCACCCGGGGTGAGAATAGTGCAGGCGAGTCTTTTGGCTATTCTCACCCGGTGCGCGTTCACCGTTATAGCCTAGATCTAGGCCAACAAATTTTGCGTTCACCCTAAATCACAGAATTCTACACTGTGATAACAGAAAAATTGTAGAATTCTGTGCCGTGAATAAACGTTCCATTACAACTGTAGCCTACTAAAAGCGTACAATTTTGTCTGTGGGCAGTGGAGAGAGAGAAAGAGAGAGAGGAGTAGCGCGAGAACTTCCGGACAAAACAAAATGGCGACCCGCGTAGTTCAGCTCGATTCGAAAAGTTAAATAGCCGTAGCATCTTTGTAGACAACCAAATTAATTTACTTTTGTGTTTTAACATCATTTTAAAACTTTGTTTTGGTCAATTTGATCGTCCACACCGATAGACAGTATTCAGAAAGAGACAGAGAGAGAGAAAGAAGAGGGGAGGAGTAGATCTTGCGAGAACTTCCGGGCGGGTGAGAATAGCCACTTTCTTTAATATATCATTTTTTAACTTTGTTTTGGTCAATTTGATCGTCCACACCGATAGACAGTATTCAGAAAGAGACAGAGAGAGAGAGAGGGGAGGAGTAGATCTTGCGAGAACTTCCGGGTAAAACAAAATGGCGACCCGCGTAGTTCGGCTCGATTCGAACAGCGAAATAGCCATAGCATCTTTGAAGACAACCAAATTAGCTTACTTTTGTGCTATAACTAATTTTGTCTTGGCTTTTATCAATTTGATCATACACATCGATAGAAAGTATTCCGAAATGAGGAAAAGCAGGTCTTGTTTCAAACCGGGTGAGAATAGCCTACAGTCGCAAGTCTCACCCGGGGTGAGAGGTAGATCGTTTTTCTATTCTCACCCCGGATAAGAATAGCCACTTCCATAAATTTTTACGAAGTTACTATTTATCAGAACGTTCGGAGAAATAGTGCCAATCTTTATTTCTCCGAACGGTTTCCGGCTACCGGTCTCGTGATTTTTTGCCTATTTATTGCGAGAGTTCGGCGCCAACTTTCATTCATTCTGCATCTGCCCTCTGGTCTGGGAAGGAACACCGCATGGCAAGCCCGCCTATGGACAACCTTCAGTAACACCCACCACACACCCACCACCATCATGTACATGTACACACACTAACTAAACATGATCAGTGGGCAACTTTTGAACGTATACGAGCTGAGCTGTGGATGGAGAGACAGTGTGAGTGAAAGTGAAAGAGCGGGTGAAAGGAAGAATACACGAATGTATCCACAGGCGACGTCCAACCAGACAATGACACCGACTCCCTGGCCTGGTCCACAGCTCATGAACGAAAGGAATGCGGCTAAGGCAGTGTTTTGCCTATATTGTTGTCCTTGGTACGCAGGGTGCAAGGGAATGAGTGAGATTTTCTTTGTGTGTGCCTGGAGGGTGGGGGTGGGGTGTGAAAGTCATGCGGACGGGGATGAGCCGCCGGAGAGAACACAGGAATTGAATGAATGAGTTAAACTGAAAGAGAGGAACGACTCATGAGCCCTGGAGTGAATGGATCCTGTGTTTCTATTTTTGTATACTTTGAACTGTTACATGTACTGAATAAAGGCTGAAATAAAGCCCAAAAAACAAACACACACACACACTCCTCACTCTCCACTTACATACTTACTACCACACACAGACACACGCACATGCATGCACCCCCTCCCCCCCCCCCCCCCCCCCCACCCCACACACACACACAGGAGCAAATTTTTGGGTCTAGATCTATATCTATTTCAATTTTCAAGAGCTAGTTTAGAGATTTTTAGATGAGTGTAAAAACGTGAAAAAGAAAGGTTTCACAAAAGAATGAAATCAAAATTAGAACAGCCCATCAACAACAAAAATTAACAAATAAGGGCGTGTGTCCACCTGTTCGAAGAAGATTGGCCCTAAATGAGCGTATTAAAAAAAGAAAAAAGTACAGGATATTAATATTACATATAAATTATGGAACCACACACATTAAGGGGCTTGCCAATGTCAGTACATGTAATCGGTTTTGGTGGAACGTACGCTCTAACAAAACACATTTAAATCTATATTTAATATACATGTATATAATATTTAGAATCTAATGAAGGTAGGAACATCAAATTAAATGACGTTACAGTATACAACACCCCCCCCCCCTTTTTTTTCCCCCAACAAAAAAAAATTATAGAAGAACAACACATTAGAACAATAAATAATAAGAAAAAAAATTACACACAAAATAAAACACCACAAAGAGGGAAAAATAAAAGTAACTGTAACATAGTCAACAAATCAACGTGGTGACAACAAGTGAGAATGAGAAAGAGACGAAGTGAAGCTAAGTGAAGATGCTAGTTCTCTGTGTCGTTATCAATAAAACCCTACGTAGATCTAGATCTAATCTGGACAGCTCTCGAGTGAACACAACACATTAAGTTTAAGAGCAGCACCCTTCATAGGCAACACGTCATATCTGTAGCGAAAAACTGTTTGGAACTGTAGCATTTCTTTATATCAATATTTACTGCGGACATTATTTGGACCGATTGAACTATATTGTATACGAACAATCTTTGGTAGGCCTATACTAGATCTGTATTATCCGAAATTTGCGGGAAAGGATGTGATTTCAGAGTGTTCGGAGAAATAGTGCCCAGCTTTATTTTCCCGAACGTTCGGAGAAATAGTGCCTAGCTTTATTTTCCCGAACGTTCGGAGAAATAGTGCCGACCAAATTTTTAGTGTGCAGTACCTAAAGTATTTGTATTTGAGACGAAACCAGGTGCCTTAACTCTTATCCTGCGTCTGTGCCCAGATGCGTATCTTCAGCAACCGATTACGTCGGACGTGCCGGGCAGGCCGCTGGGGTCACTCAGTGTGTACTGTTGGTGTACAGCGTGCGCGCCGGGAAACGTGTGTTTTCGCCATGAATACCGCGGGAGTGTGTTAACAGATGATGAAAATAACGCTCTATCCTTCATGGCTTTCTATTTATAAAGTGTTACAAACACATGAATAACCCCCTCTCATAAGCTGATAAATAAGACATTACGAATAGTTACGCCCATTCGAATATTTATAAATCTGATCGGACTCGAGTCCGAATAGAACTGGCCTATTTTGGCAATCCATCTTTGGGCTTTTGTCCCACACTATGGTGGGCCCACTTTGCTGCTTAGCGCGTGGATGTACTGTGGCGACTCACAGTCTTGCTTTACAATTTCTTTGTGACTTGTTAACTAGTACAATCTTTCATAACAATGTCTGGCAGATTCAAAGTGTCCTTGTCTCTTCTAAGTGATCAACAAACAGCTAGTTGTTTCCCCTTCGTCTGGGTCCTTGAAATACAACAACTGGTGCTGTGAAAAGAGAGTCACATTACCTCTCTCTTTAGAGCGTTTTCATTGTCAGATTGTTACATTTCTTACGTGAAAATTTGACTCTGACTGCAATGATCCAACCAAATTGACTTCATAATATTTTGGATCCCTGTAGTTGTGCTGGATGAATTGTACAATTAGGGAAAAAATTAACTCACTTCCAAAGAGGATCAAAGAAATCTCCTGGTAGACCAAACCTTGATTCTGAATAAAACAGTAGTAAATTGAACTGTTAAAAAATGTGTTTGAACAGCACATCTGATCTGGACATTAATGATAGTGCTGTATATTTAATATTTTGGCCTGCTTCAAGCACGGCGTCACTTGTTGTCCGATTCTGTTACCTTTAGCTAGCGTGACTCAGCAGCCCGCCGGAGCTCCCCGGCTCGGGGTCACGCGGTTAATGAGCCCTGAAGCGACTTCGCCGGTGTCGGTTAAGAAGTTAACGTTTTTGCCTACGTTCGAAACGAACTTCTTCCCCATTCCACACATCAAACCATTACGTGGATGTACTAAAAGCTTAATGTCTTGAGATTTATTATGTGTTTGAATGGTTAATTATTAATTTCTGTGCCTTAGTTTTTGTTCTAGACAAGTGTTTGTAAAGTACCCAATTTGTCC